ACGCGTTATATTGAGTTCGAGGTCTAGCGCCCTATGAGACGGTAAACACATGCAGCCATTTTCGAAATTCTAACTAAAAGTAGAAACTCATTTTTTAATCGACGTCTTCCCTGGCGTTGCCGTCCTGACTGCTTAGAAAGTTACGACGGCATCGTGGGATTTAAAATGGTGGGAGAGCGGGATATGAGAGGACCTCAGCGTGTACTCTTTAAATGCAGGTGTCCCTATTACGACCCTCTTCACCATGCCCCGTTTAACTCCCATGATAACTTTGTATTCGCACATTGTCTCAGTGAAATAAACTGGCGTAATCTAGTCCTTGCAGGCAGATAGAAGATTCTCAATTGAAATGCAGGGCCAAGACTAAAGCTAAGATCCTGCTATCTTCTTCCGAAAGGAAAGACTGAAACAGTTATCCTAAAACTGAAACAGTTATCCCAAACTTCTTTGTCTGGGAGAAGGTGGACTCCATTTTTTTTTCGGTTCTTGTGTCATTGTCTGATTGTACTGAAACCGGCTAAACTGAATACCAAGAGTTTTGGCGCGATTGCTTGAATTCTCCATTCGGACTAACTTGAACCGGAAGTACATAATGTAGACTGTGTAGTCCTGACTCACTCAAAAATATAATCCGAATTATTCACTTGGAAATCAACGATCAATGCAACAAGACGTGCCTTCTTATAATAACCTGAGGTAGCAGAAAACCATGAACTCTCGCCCAATGACACCCTTGAAACGACATTTTAAGGACAAACATTGTGTTTTCCTGCGTAGCTGAATAAGTGTGCTCCTTCACAACGCTTGCAACGGTACCCGCGAGGGCCTGAACACAAAAACAACTCCAACTTGCAACGCCTGGTAATAGTCGGGTGAACAAAAACCAACAGGGCCATCGATGGAGGACAAATTACTAACGGCAGAATGGAAGGATTAGAGGAGGAAAAACACTATGGAATTCGAACACAAAATAAGTTAGATCTGGGGCGCCTTTTCCGGATTAACAAGGATCTTTTGGTACTAAAGCTTTACTACTTTTTTGCGTTTAGTGCGAAAGCTTGTATCCAGCCATTCTTTCCTGTGTTTCTACGCCACGTGGGACTATCAGCTGAACAGACCGGCTTTGTAATCGGACTACAACCACTGGCGAATTTCATTGGAACACCCATCGCTGGCGCTTTAGCGGACAAATATCGAAAACACAGGATTGCTATGTTAATCATGTGTATCGTTACAACTGCTCTTCAATTTTCTTTGGTGTTTGTTCGGCCCAACGAAGAACTAAACACGGCAACAAACTTTTGTAGTAATCACTCATTCTTGAACATAACTGGAAAGGAAAAGGTTGCAATTGAAAAATTGTCGTCTATAAATCCAGATAACGACTCATCGTCTTTTGCAGAAAAAAACTGTACAGATGACTTAGGTGGAAATACGACGGATATCGCCAAAACTGTAGGAAGTGGGGACAACCACGATGTATTTCTTCTTATTATTGTTCTTTCCTTTGTATGGTCATTATTCGATGGCTCGAATTCCTTGGCTGATGCGGCCACGGTTAAATACTTGACAGATATTGGCAGAAGTGGTGACTATGGCAAGCAAAGACTGTGGGGTGCTGTCGGATGGGGAAGTATTGCAATTTTGTCAGGGTTCACAATTGATCAGTCTGCCCAGAATTCAAATCAGAGTCAGTTTTTCATAGCATTCTGTGGTTTTTTGTTGTTCAACATTGCAGCTTTCATAACAGTAATTAAGTTGCCACTGGAATATTTAGAGGGTGAATCCAAGCCCAAGATTTTCCAGAATGTGTGTATCATTCTCTCTGACTGTTGCATTGTCACATTTTTGTTGGCAATCCTCATCATGGGAGCAAGTTTTTCAACGATTGGCACATTTTTGTTTTGGTTTATTCAAGACATGAATGGAAGCCATTTGTTAATGGGCCTTACTCTTTGCATGACATGTGTCTCAGAGGTCCCTGTTATGTTTTTTTCTGGGAAGTTAATTGATCGTATTGGCCATCATGGTGTCCTATACTTGACATTTGTTTGCTATACCATTAGATATGTGTTATACTCATTTATTCACAATGCCTGGTATATATTGGCTGTTGAACCTCTACACGGTGTTACTTTTGGAGCAATGTGGGCTGCTACAACATCCTATGGTGGTCTTATTTCACCTGAGGGAATGCGTGCAACAGTCATGAGTTTGGTTATGGCAACACATTTTGGTCTAGGAAAACTTATTGCAGGCTTTGGTGGAGGGGCCATTTATGATAGTTATGGACCAAGAATTCTTTTTAGAAGTCTGGCAGTAACAAGTGCTATCACAGGCTTGCTGTTTGCTCTTTCACAGAGGTTGACTAAGTGGAAATCACAAGTGCATTATTCAGGCTTTCAGAATGATTCCCAAAATGACAGTACTTGGGATGCAGAGATGAAGGAGATAAATTTAGATTCTGGAGATGAACTTTGATTTTAGATTGACTTTTTTTTTGTTACATTGCTTAAAGTGTATTGTGGGCATGTGGTAGACAATAGTTGACATTTTAAATTGGATAAGTTATTATAACATAACCAAAGTAAAGCACATGATCTGATTGGTCAATTCAGCATCCATCATCTACCCACGGGTGTACATTGCTGACATGAGCAAATGCGAAGACTAGTTTTCCACATGCACTTGTCTTTTCTGGTCATGTAAGATTTGTTAAATAAAAGAAAACTCTTTTGCTGCAATATTTCAATGTTTGTTATAAAACAAATTGTAAATGCCACAGTGTACACTATTGAGTTATGGATGCACTTAGGAGGTTTGCTTAGTACTCACGCAACTGTTAACGTTCTTTTGTGCTTACCAACCTCCTGGATGCATCCACAAGTCAATGGTGTGCGCTGTGGTGTTTATCATTTATTAATAAGCGAACAAGGTTCAAGAGGCTCTTAAGTTAAGACTTTAATTTCAGAAGGTTTACATGTAGGTGTAAGTGAGAAGTTACAGAGGAGCCAAAGGATCATCTTTTACTGAGTCATGCTCAAATCTTGTTAAAGAATGGAACAGCACTGAGTGCAGTTTGGATTAGAATTTAAAAGGTATAATCTTGACTGCCTTTGGATACCTGGTTGATGTTTAATTTGTTTTGCCTCTGATACAGAAGGGTATTCCATGCTGGTGTTGTGGAATTTAGGTCATAATTTTTTTCATTCTGATATATTTAAGTGAAATGATTTAACCAGTAAATTATAGCATAAGGTTGTTATGTGAGGAGAAGGCTGGTTACTTTTTCCTCATGTAAATTAGAATATTACATTGTATTTTAATCACATTAAGGTCACTGACACTGAAGAAATTTATAAGTTGTGTTGTGGAAGCTAGAACTAGAATTTTTCCTAACCTGAATATTTGGGTAAATACTCTTTGTCAAATAAGATATTAGTTGTGTTGCAATATTTAAGTACTACTGATTACAGTGTACATTAAAGGATTATTCATTTTTAATGAGTGTTAATAATATTCAATAAAAGATTTGACTTGTGCAGATTTTGAGCCAATGAATAATGTATTTAAAAAGCAATTTATCACAATCTCTCATGTATTATATTACTGCTCCATGAACATGCTTCAATGATTACTGTAGTTTAATTATACTTGACTTTCTTTATATGATAAATAGTCAATGTGCCCATTTTAAAATTGATATATAGGTTCCCATTTCCTCTGTCCCTAATTTCAATGAAAATTCTTGTCTTCCTTAATTCTGACACTGTTATGTCATCATTCATGGAAAAATGTCTGCAAAATAATGAAAAGAGGTTGTTAATACATTGCTTGCCTGATCTGTTGAGGTTTTCTAAATTTAACAGCATTTTTTATTTATATGCACTTATTACTTGCACTACAAAGCCCAACATGATAAAACGTTACATACAATGCTAACAGTACTTTACGTTATTAATTACCAAAACTTTAAATTCCGATATTAATTACAACAATGACATTACTGAGAAAACGTTAATTTATTAACTGTTTATAAAATTTTAAATAATTTATAACAGTAGTATCGAACTTGAAGATTCATGTGAAGCAACTGGGTTACATGCGTGATTACCCCACGTCGCAGGACAGAATATTTTTTAATTTAGGTCAAGTGCGTTCCATAGGGGTTAAGAGTGCTTCTATGGCAACCTTTTATGCCCCTTAAAAATCTCAAAACTAGGAAATTCTTGGAAACAAATGAAAAGTGTGGTAGTGTCGACCCATCAAAGAATTTCCGCGGCAGTTGTTAAAATACGAAAAAACATTTTCAACCCCCTTGAGTTTCCTCATGCATTGAAATCCTTGCCTACCGAGTCGGATGAAAATTTTGCGGGTTCCAATGTTTTAGGCATGTCCACGATCCGCTAAGACAGTATCCCGCAGAGCCGCGAAGTAAAATGCGTTTTACTCCGTTCAGAATAACTTGTGAAGAAAGGAAATTTTTAAACATTGCCATTTTTTGTGTTAGTGTTTTCTTCATTAACAGAAGATCGCAAGAGTTAGTTTTTAGGAAGAACTTAATTAACCTGGAACTGCAATAATTCGTTTCCGCAACACACAAAATCGCCAACGCGCGCAGAGTAAAATTTCCCGCTACGTGTTCTTGCAACTCATCGTGTTCCAGTGCGCTAAACCGCCCGCCTTTGTATATAAGTTTCAACTTAACGTGCCACAAACCAAGAAAATGTAATTGTAATACCTGTCTCTCTAATCGCACACTTTGTCCAGCACTTCTCGAATATGGTCGGAGAGATCTTCAAATTTGTCCACAAACACATAATGATCTTCTCCAGCCATCATTATAAGTTCTGCTAGATCCACTTCTGAAGTAATACCGATTGCAACAACTTTTGCGTGGGCTGAATTCTGTTAAAATAGCGTTAATGTTAACTTCGACTTTAATACGGCTGAACAACATTTATATCAACAAATTAAGACTTCGTTACAAAGGGATTTATTTAAGGTGCCCGTGCTTGAGTGGTAAGTTCGGTATATGAGTGTTCGCTTGGTTAGCTCATGTCGTAGAGCACGGAACTGCTCTGCCGGAGGTTGAGGGTTCAACTGGCCAATCGTCAGGGTATGCTAATAACTGAGGAGAATGTGCTGCCTTTGCTATGACATCCAAAAATGGTTTCATATTCTAGTCTTCTCGGATAAGGACGATAAACTGTAGCCCCTTCTCTTGCATCCTCTCTGTGATGGTTAGTAGGGGACGTTAAAGAACCCCCGTTCTTCTCCCAAAGAGTAAGGAAAGTAGCTCCTGACGTTTTGGTCTGGCCTTGTTATTGTTTATATAGGAACCCTTCAGAGCTGATCAGGGCCAGGCTGTCTCAATATTGCAAATAAATAAGTAAATAAACAAACTGACTCTCTAGGTTGTCATATCTTGGATTATCAGTAGTTTCAGGGAGGCCCACTTGGTTGATTTTAGAGTAAGGCCGAAGAAATGATTCTTTAAGAGGAAGCGGGGTACACATTTGTTCAATTGGAATTTCGGAGCTTACCAGTCAAACGATAGAGTGTTTCTGTCGAGGAACTATCGGCTGATAGTTGCCCCGCGGAAATTTGATGTTCTTGAAACAAATATTTTCCCGAGAAGCGAAGCTTCGAGGGCAAATATGCTAGTTTTAAGAACATCAAATTTCTAAGGGGCAACTGTCAGACCGATAGTTCCGAGACATAAACACTCTATTGTCTTTATTGTTCACCACTAAATTTTCTGCCGTACGCCAGTTGAAAAACAGTCAAAACCCACTAAATGCAGATCAATCAAATATTTATTCATGCG